TTCTTCCTGGGGGTTGAACCTTACCCCATACCTCCAGGGGTCTGAGGACCTTTGCAGGTGTGGACACTTGGGTAAGTGGAGGCAGCGGGGTGGGGGTGTTGCAGAGAACCCAGGCTTCTTGTCTTGGTTCAGCAAATGAGCTTGCCTCTTCTGGGAAGTGAAATGACTCCTTTATTGCTGTGAGGAAAAACACATTGCTGACTATCAGTGTGGGTAAGGCAAACCCCAATCTGTCCATAGGTCTCGCCTGATCTGCACTTCATTCATTCACTCATTCATTCTACAGACGCTTACAGCCTGCGCTGGTGCTGGAGGTGAGAGTGGGAACAAAAGCCCTGCTCTTGCGGAGCTCGCTGCTTGGCAGGGCTGTGGACAGGCATTATGACGCAGTTTTAGTCCTCGGGTAGGGAACCTCAGGGACCCTACAAGGCCCCAGGGAGGGGCATGCAGGCCTACCTGGGAAGGCAGGGAGGACTCCTAGAGGATGTGACAGATTATCTGAGACTCGAAGGGTATGTAAGCGTCACCCAGGTAAAAAGGGGGACATGCTCTAGGTATTGGAAACAGCACAGGCTTAAAACCTTGTGGCCAGAAAGAGCCGGTGTGGGGCACTGAATGATCAGTTGTGGCTGGAGGGCAGAGGAGGGGGAGGGGAGGACTAGAAGAGATTCTGGGAAGCCAACAAAGGCTTAAGGCACGGCAAGGATGCTGTCCAATTTTAGGAAGGTGACTCTGATTAGATGTAGAGAATAGATAGGCGGGGATTGAGACTAGAGGAAGGGTGACTGGTCAGAAGAATATTGTAGTAATCCGGAGATGAGGCCGTGGAGAGGGAGAGAAGTGATGGGTTTGAGATGCTGAGGCAGTAGATCCCATCAAGACCTTCCCTGCCCCACACACCAACTGCGTCAATCAAAGGGTGATTGAAGAGTGTTTAGTGAAGGAACAGATGCATGAGCAGTGATAAGTGATGGTGAGACTCCACAGACCTAGCAACATCAGGGAGCCTTTACGTCCCCAGGCCTGGAGGGGTAAAGGAAGGGGGCGCTGATGGAACCCAGGGAGTGAACTGTGGCTGTGCAAGAGGGCTGATAGACAGGAACTTGGGCACAAGAGGAAAAATACAGCCTTTGCCAACTACAGCCTGGCAGTGAGGAAGTGGGGAAAGCAATACCCTAGCATCTCTCCCCTCTGTGGCTTCTGACCCTGTGGGGCCTTCCATTGGCCAAACCCAACCCAAAGCCAGAGAACAAAGGAGTCTAGGTGATGCACTTGGCAGAGCTCAGCCTCCAGGGTTCAGAGTAAGGCTGAGGAGAATGGAGAGTGGATCCGAAGAGGCGAACAGAGAAAACCCAGCATACGAGCACACGCACCCTGTTCATCCATTTGTTCTTCTGTCCATCCGTCCATCTATCCATCCATCCATCCATCCATCCATCCATCCATCCATCCGTGTACCCACCCACTCATACACCCATCCATTCATCCCAGCATCCTCTCCAAGTCCCTTTTGTGTCTGAGGCCTCATGTGGTTGATTAGCTTGGTGGATAGGCCGTCCTTCTGAGCCACGAGGACCTCCCTGCCCCAGGGGGCTGAGGGACAGAGGGACAAGCCTGTGGGCGGGTGCTGGGGGGTAGATCACATCAAGGTTCTGCCTTCACCTGCTTTCTTGGGTAGTCTGAAGCTGGTCCAGGAAGGGACCCCCAGCCAGCCCCCTAGGCAGTGCCAGGGCTGGCCAGTAAAGGCCCTCCGTGTGGATGTGGCTGCCTCAGGACAGCCCCTCTGCCTCCTCATTGCAGCTGGTGGGCCTCTGGGCCACCCACCCCCCACTGCAGTTGGTGCCTCTGTGTTGCAGACTCCCTGGGTGGGGGCTCTGAGGGCCCGTGTTTCTGCCCTACCCCCTGCAACCTGACCCGCTACGGGAAAGAAATCTCCATGGTCAGGATCCCCAACAGGGGCTCAGCCCGGTACCTGGCCAGGAAGTACAACCGCAATGAAACCTACATACGGTATGTGTGTGCTTGTGTGAGAGTGTGCGTGTGCGTGTGCGTGCGTGTGTGTGGTAAAGGCCACCCTCAAAAGGCCTGGTGCATGGTGGAGACGGGGAGTAGGCTGCATCTTTGTCAATAATGAGTCTTCTGCCAGGAATGCCTTTCACAATCCTTTTCTAACCCATTCTCCAAGTCACATCCTGTGCCTCCACCTCCAGGGAAGCCCTTGTTGGTCCAAATGCCTTTCACCTGAGCTCCCACGGCACCCTGTACATATCTCAGTCATTGCATGTACCCATTGTGTTAGAACCCTCTGTCTACGTGTCTTTCTCCCCCAGCAACCTGGGAGCTGTTAAATGCATGTGGAGTGAATGCTGTGCTGAGGGAGAGGAACTGGAAGGGCTGGGAGAGAAATAAGGTGGCCTGCAGGAGGGGTCGCATTGAGCCTGCAGCCAATCTACAAATGCTGAGCATCCTCTGAGTGCCAGGCCCAGTGCTGGGTCCTGTGGGGACAGAGATGATTATGACACCAAACCCACAATGTGTGGATCAACCCACGTGTGATGTGCTGCACTGCTTCTCGGGCCCCGGGAGAGATTAATGCGCATGGGGTAGGAGAAGCAGGGGGAGGCGTGCACTGGGCCTCTGAGGACCACAGATTTGGGTCTGTGAGAGGAGGGGAAAGGAGGAGAGAGGGGAGGAATCCCAGTTAGAGAATTGGGGGATGATTTGGAGACCAGCCTGAGTAGCAGGGGGACGAGAAGCAGATCAGAAAGCAGCTTGAATAAGAAGGTGCAGTGCAACAGATCAGGGGCAGTCTTGGAAGTCTGGAAGAGGAATTTTGGAGAGGACTTTGGGCAGTAGGGATCCACTTAAGGTTCTAGAGAGGTATAGGGGTGCGGCAACACGAGCACTATTTGTTGCTTTAGAGAAGGCAGGAGGGAATCCTGCAGGCCCAGGCACTTTTGCTCTCCGGGTCCCTTTGCTAACCCTCAAAGTGTGAAGCTAGCATGCATCTGTGACTGCCTCCCCTCACAGTCCTTGGGGTTTTGAGGGTAGTTACCAGCTTCCTGGCATAGGGGGTCTCAGATCAGGATCTGCTGGACCTGGGATGTCCCTGCAAGCCACCTCCTCGGGAAGGTGGCCCCACATGGACACCCTGCTCTCTGTCTCCACAGGGAGAACTTCCTGGTCCTAGATGTCTTTTTTGAAGCCCTGACCTCTGAGGCCATGGAGCAGCGAGCAGCCTACGGCCTGTCAGCCCTGCTGGGTGAGACCTGGCCCAGATTCTATGGGGGTGGATCAGTCCAGCCTGCTCCCTTTTACTCTGTTCTTGTGCTCTGTAGGTGACCTTGGGGGACAAATGGGCCTATTCATTGGGGCCAGTATCCTCACGCTGCTGGAGATCCTTGACTACATCTATGAGGCAAGAAATGGGGGCCTGGCGGAGGCTACCCAGACAGGGAGTGAAGGATGGGAGGAGGGGCTCTGGGATAAGCAGATGGACGGTGCAGGCTTCCTGGTGGAGCTGGTCTGGCTGGGAAGTCAAGCTCTGGGTTCTTTGCCAGGGTCCCCCTGACTGGCTGAAAAGCCTGAGGGTGCTTAAAGAGTCAGGAGAAGGGGATGGGTTAGGAGGATCAGGGAGTCCTAGCGGGAATTTGCTGGGCAGCAAGCCCTATAAGGTGGGCCTAGTGAGGCCACCCTTCTCTACCAAGTTTCCTGAGCCCACTCCTATCCCTGAACCTTTAGGTGTCCTGGGACCGACTGAAGCGGGTATGGCGTCGTCCCAAGACCCCTCTGCGGACCTCCACTGGGGGCATCTCCACTTTGGGGCTGCAGGAGCTGAAGGAGCAGGTGAGGATGAGCCCTACACAATATGCATCCAGCACCTTCGCCCAGGACTGAATACCCGCCATGATTTCTGTACCAGCCTGTGGGAGGGGACGAGGCTGGTTGGATGAGGCTTGGGGGCATGGCTTGGACTCTCCCTCTTTACCTTTCAGAGTCCCTGCAGAAGCCGGGGCCGGGCTGAAGGTGGGGGAGCCAGCAGCCTGCTCCCCAACCACCACCACCCGCATGGCCCCCCAGGAGGCCTCTTTGAAGACTTTGCTTGCTAAGATGATGCTGTGTCTGAAAGGACCCAGGAGTCTGGGGCCCCTCCCTGAATCCCCAGCTAGTATCCTCCTGCTTCTGGGACAGAAGGCCTGGGGGCAGCCCGGGCTGCGGGGGGAGAGGGCGGTGCTCACTGGGAGGCTGTAGACTCAGTTCCAGTTCTCACCAGCCCAGGCACCAGCTGCTTTGCACAATGGTTCTTCTTATCCACACCCCCCACCCCAAGGCTGGCACCCAGGGAGGGCTGGAGAGCAGGTCATGGGCCCCAGGGGAGGGGAGAGGAAGGGAGAAGAGAGGGAGGCGGAGGAAGTGGCCCGCCCCAGCAGGGGTGGAAACTCTGTATATTTGTATATACTTAGGGAGGACAGGGTGGGGGTGGGGGTGCAGATATAGAAGGTGGGTGGGGCTAAGGGGGGTGGGTGATTCAGGGGCAGCCAGGGTCCCAGCCCTGGAGTATCACTAGGCGAGGGGAGGCCCCCAGGTGTCAGGACCACTGGGCTGTTCCTGTTTCCTGTTCCTCTCCAGGCCCAGCTCCCCTTTTGGCAGGGGGAGCAGGTGGCCCAGCAGGCCTGGCCCAGCTCCCAATTCCCCCTGCCCCACCCCGACCTCAAGTCCCCTCCACAGGGAGCAGGCAGACCTTTCAGACCCTGGCTGAGCTTGGGGGTGAGGGAGGAAGCCTTCTCAGGCCTCTTTGCCTCTGGTCTGGTTTTAAAAAGTGCTGGTGAAATTAGGAATAAAGAGGCATAAAGACTTCTCTGTGTCTGTGTGAGCAAGCTGGGAGATGGGGCAGGGCTGGGCATACGCATGACTTGGTCTCAGGCCCCGCCATGACTGAGAGCCTCCATCCTCACCGACAGCCCTCCCTGCCCCCATGCCTACCTCTCAAAAACTCAGAATCACCAGTCCACACTCAGCCAGTTTATTAAAGGCAGGGAGCTTCCCCAGGGCCCCAGAAGGGAGAAGCTGGGAGACACCCCGTCTTCTTCTCTCAGCTCCTCCCTCTCCCAACAACTCATCTACAGCCCAGCCCCCAGGACTCGAACCCTAGAACCCTAGAGGCAGGGCTGGCGTCAGGCAGAGTGTGCTGCATAAATACCGAGGCCATAGCTTGAATCAGCAGCGTCAGGGGGCAAGGAGACCGGGTTTGGGGCAGAAAGAGGTGGCTCTGAGGGCACCTTCCCCAGGGTTTGTCCTGAGCCTGAGGACCCACAAAGCCAGAGCAAGGGGGCCAGTGGGCTGTCCTGGGGTCTGAGGCGGTGGCCAGCCCTGTCCAGAGAGGCTGGCAGGTGGCTCCAGGCGGTTGGGGGAGAAGTGCCACTAGGCCAGGGTTCAGAGGTGCAGGGTGGGGTTAGGTGCTATTGCCCTGCTCCTGCTCAAAGAGCAGCATGGCGAGCTGCGTGCGGGAGCCCAGGCCCTCAAGCGTGCTCTGGCGACAGCGATGGTACAGGTCCTCGCTGAGCCGGGCACTGCACGTCTGGGCCCGGTAGCGCTGCAGCAGTGCTGGTTCCACTGCCCGCAGCACATGCAGGCCAGAGAAGCGCAGGAACAGCTCATACACATCCATGATCTCTAGGAGCTCCTCCTCCTGCTCCAAGGCAGCCGCCAGCTGCCCGCGGGCCGCCACGTAGTCGGAGTTGTAGAAGCAGGCCTCACTGGCTGCCTGGCGATCAAAGCGGCCCGTGTCTCGGCCCAACTCCGGGGGCCCCGGGCCCTGTGGTGGGGCCACGGCCGGGTGGAACGCCTGGAAGTGCATGGGAAAGAAGGCCTGCCAGCCAGCGATGGCATGCATGCGGCAGCGGTTCAGGAAGTCAGGCGTGAGCACTGTGTCTGGCCCCGCCAGCAGGAACAGCGTGTCCAGCGGGTGCTTCTTGGAGAGCAGATCCATGAGGCGCAGTGGTGAGGGGGCAGCTGTCTGCACACTGAGCCAGGGCACCCGGGCACCGGGGAAACGCCGCTCCAGCTCTGCCACGTGGGCCTTGACAGGTGCAAAGACATCTGCATGGGCTGCCCGCTGGGCCTGTCGTGGCTCATACAGTAGCAGCAGGGTCAGGGCCGCTGCAGCATCGCCAGGCTCCAGTGCTGCCGAGGCAAAGGCCTCCAGGAAGCCAGGGGCCAGGTCACGCTCAGCCGCAGCCAGAGGAAGTAATATGGTGAGACGTGAGGCTTCGGTGACATAGGGCACAGGCAAGATCTCCACGCGGCTCAGTGGCCGTAGCAGCTGTACCCGGTGGGTGAAGGGCCAGCGGCCGCCCTGGGGGGTCAGCGCCTCCAGCTGCAAGTCCAGTGTGTACTCCATACCCCGGGCAGGATCAAAGCGTCGGTAGCCATTAACCAGCTGCTGCTTCTGGAGCCGCAAGGCTGGGTGGTAGCGGCGGTTGAGCTCTTCCAAGGCTGCCCCCAGAATGTCAGCCACGTCAGCCCGGTCAGCCCCACGCAGCGGGCAGCGGGGTGAGCCATCGGCACAGGAGAAAGCATGCTGCTCAGTGAAATAGTCCCAGCGTAGTACCTCAAAGCGGGAGGCTGGAAGGGATGGTGCTGGAATGCCTATGGGCCAGGCGGCTGCCCGCTCCCCATCAGCTGCCAGACGGCTAGTGTTCTGAATCTCCCACTGGGTTGGAGAAACAGTGTATGAGTAAGATATAGGCCCCAGAGGCCAGCACACAGCTGGGGGACTGGGCAGGTGGCAGGTGTCACTCACGATAGGTCCCCAGTCCCCTGTCAATCTCTGCCTTCGTACGGCCCCCCACCTAGCCTTCCCACAGATGGAGGCAGCCTGAGAGTTAAAATGGGGTTTCTGGAGGGGCTTCTCAGAAACATGATAAATGAACAGGGACCAGAGGCAGGTGTGTTCTGTGATTCTAGTGCTCATTTATCATTTCCCTGGGCTCTCTAAGGCCTCTCAGGACCTGCCTACCAGCCCCTGGGCCCAGACCATACCTGCAACTCCTGGATCTCCTGGTATGTGCGTTCCAGCTCAGCTCGGGCAAAAGCCTTGTGCAGCTGGTACATGTGCACAGGGTCACGCACAGGATGGGCTGTCAGGGCGCTGCGGAAACGAGGGTCCCCCTCCTGCACAGGCTCCCCAGGGCTCAGCTCCAGATAGCTGTAGTGTACTGCCTGTGGTGAGAAAGAGAAGGGGTCCACATGGGAAGAATGATTGGACAGCCTCCCCGCCTTGCCTCACAGTGTATGTCTCATCTCCCCATCCTATGACCTGTTGTGGACTTGGGAGTTAGAATTCTGTGGGTTTAGGTACCTCGACCAGTTGTGACCTTGTGTGACCTTGGGCAAGACTCTGCTAGCTCATCTATGAAATGGGCATGCATCCTATCTCAGAGCTGTCTGGGTGCTCCAATAAAATAATAATAGCTAACACCAAACACCTACTATGTGCAAGGCTCCCTTATTTTTTCTAATCCTTATAACAACCCTTAGCAATAATTATTTCTGTTGGTATGGATGAAGATACTGAAGCTCAGGAAATTCAGTAATTTATCCAAGGTCACAGGGATAGAAAAGGACAGAACTGGCATGGAAACCCAGGCCTATATCGCTAACTGCCTCTTTGCCTCTCAGGGGAACTGCACAAGCTCAGACAGGAGGAACCAGTGGGGTGGCTTATTTTCCCACCTCGTGGTCGCTTGTGCAGCCCACCCCAGTGGCATCCAGGATGCAGCGTCCCAGCCACTCATCCGGACGTGCACTGACGATGTCATTGCGGCAGCCTTCCAGGTGGGGGCGCAGCTGCTGCAGCAGCGTGCGCGACAACAGCACCCCAAAGCCTCCGTGGCAGTAGCGGCCTGGGGCGGGATCTCCACCGATGAAGTCCTGGGGCCGACCCAGATAGAGGTGGGCAGCGGCTGCCAGGCTGAGGCGGCCAGCTAGGCGCGCCAACCCGTGAGCCTCGGTGTAGGTGGCATCAGGTACTAGAAAGAACCAGTCAAAGTCGTCGCCGTGCTGCTCCAGCAGGTGGCGCAGTGCCAGGTGCAGGTGCCCGATGGGTCGCTCCTCGCCCAGTGTCACCACAGCCATGCCCTGTGGTGCCCGGCGGCCCCGCGAGCCTGTCAGGAACACCACACGCTCTAGCCGGTGCCCCAGAGTGCGATTCACGGCCACGCCCAGCGTGGGCAACGTGGCCTGTGAGGTCAGCACTGCCACGAGCAGCCTCTGCCTGATGCCCAGCTCCGTGCTGATGTAGCGAGTCCTGGGGGGAGGAGACGGCACAAAATTATCAAAACGACAACTGGGCGGGTAGAAGGCAGCATACATAGGCTCCTGCAGGTCATGTCCTCTCTGGGTCTGTTTCCTCACCTATGAATAGGATAAGAATAACAATTCTCTCAGGGGTCATCAGGATTTCAGTGAAATATTGCCCTTACCCACACAGTGCTTTTGGGAGATGGCAATATCCATGCAGATATGAAAGATATATTGTGGCTCTGATTCACTGTTTCACTACTAAGTAGTTGTGTCCTTGAGCAAGTTATTTAATCTGTCCGAGTCTCAGTAGCCAAATCTGAAAAGATGGGGTTGATTTTATGTAAAGCATTTTGGCACGTTTGGCTCAAAGGTACTCTACACATCATGTATGTAGTACTTATTTCTATATAAATATGCCATTATACCACAAATACAACACATAAATGATGTAATGGAATATATGGCATAGGGGTGCGGTGAGTGTGTTTGGGGGGGGGGCAAACGAACTCAGAGGTTCTAGTAACTTACTTTCCATAACACAGAAGGTAAATTGCAGAGCTAGAATTTGAACTCAGCATTACTTAGGAAAAACGATTTCAACTTGTCGGCAGAGACATTCATGGGATGGCTACATCACTCCTCTCTCACTAATCTCACCAGGAGATTAGTCCCACTCAGGAACAAGAGATACAGGTCAATCCTTGTTCTCTCTTTTCTCTTTCCCTCTCTCTGTAAACCCACTCTATATACCAATCAGTTCTAAACCCAACATCCCAGCCAGGGAGCTACGAGTGTCTTTTGGGGACCACAGGGTCGAGCCAATTTAGCCCAGAGGCGGGCAAGTTCAGCCCAGGTCCGGACTGGGCCCAGAAAGGGATTCCCCAGCTCCCAGGGAAGCTGAGCTATCGGAAGTTATCGGGGCCCAAAGACTTCCTGGCCAGCCAGTCCCTTCCTTCCGGAGCCTGACCCGGCCCCCGGCGTCCTCCCCGGCACGTCAGTCCCGACCGGTGCCCAGGAGGTGGGGCTGGCGAGGCTGATCCCTACCTGACGGCCTTTTTGGCGGCTTGGCCAGGCTGTGCAGGGTGGTAGGGCAACACACGCGGCTCCCAGTTCTCCCCAGCGCCTGCGCTGGCCCCGGGCTTCTCGCGCTCGGCTCCGGGCTGCACTGAGTTGGGCCGGCGCGCCGCGTTGGTGTTGCCGCGCGGCGGTAGCTCAGAATCTCCGGGTTGGGGCGGCCCTGGGCCGCACGGCTCTTCCACCCAAGTGACGCTGAGCAGGCTCAGAGTGAAGCCCAGGGAGATGCCCACGGCCACGGGCCCTGCGGGCCGCAGCACCGACAGTAGTAGCGATGCCCGCATGGCGCCCGGACCGTGGGCCCCGGGCCCCGGAGCAGCTCCAGAGCAGCTAGAGGAAGCTCCGAGGGGGCGGGACCGGGGAGGGGGCGGATCCGGAGGGCCTGGGCCAAGCTGGCGGGCCCGCTCCCTCCCCACCGAGCAGAGCCCGCAGCCCGAGTCGAATCCCCTGCGCCGCGCTCCTAGCCCTCTCCAGCCGCCGCTCTGTACCGCTCAGGGTCCCCGCTTTCCGCGCCGGAGCCTCCGCCGCTGTCCGACGTGTCACTGCGAGGGCCCCGCCCCTGGGGTGGGGTCTCGGGCGCTAGCTACCGGAGAGGGAGGAGAAGGAGGAGGTTAAAGGCAAAGGACCCCCGGAAGTGCCCCCTCCTCAGTGCGGGAAAGGGAGACGCCGGGGGCGGAGTCCCCTAGCTCCCCCCGGCGTGGTTGGTGCGTCCCGGGTGACGTCAGAAGCAGCCCGCCCCTGCCTGGATGGTGCGCCCTGAGTGACGTCAGGTGCCGAGGCCGGAGCTGTCCATCAGCACCAAAGGCCGCGGGCGGGATCAGGGCATGGGGCCGCTGCTCTGGGGCAGCCCAAGCCCCTGTTCCTGCTTCTTTCACTTCCCCAGGTCCAGTCCGAGTCTCCGGACGCCGCAGGACTGGAGTGCCAGCCGGTGTTGGAGGTGGAGCGGCGACGCCGCCGCGCAGAGAGAGGTTCCTCCGGCCCAGCAGCCCCCTTCTCCACACGACGGACTTTTCTCAGACCCCAGTCAGCTGGGGCCTCTGGTGCCCCGCAACCCCGAGCCCTCCGGCCCCTGCACAACCTCTTTGGCTCAGAAGCTCAGTTCGTCTCCAGCCCAGGTAGATTTTGGACAATCCTAGATTTAGCCGCCCACAGACGAGTCTCCTGGCTGCCTCTTTCTCACTGGCAGCACACTGCCCTTATCTCCCCCAAACCCAGTTCCCCTTTTAACTTCTTAATTCTGGTCCCCTCTAGCCAGGCACTTTTGTTCCCTTTGTCTTTTGCCTGCCCCCCCCCTCCACTTTAGGGATGCTTCCAGAGCTGCCTGATGTGGGCATCATTCCTTTGTCCACTGTGTCCTTGCCTAGTTCTCCCACTCCTATTCTCACCCCATCCTGGTGGAGACTCAGGTCTTCTCCTTGATTCCAACTTCCTCCGTCAGGCTGACCTGGGAGAGTGACTCCCTTCTGTTCCCAGCATTATGCCGGGCACTGTGGCGACACTGCGGTTTCAGCTGCTGCCCCCTGAGCCAGATGATGCCTTCTGGGGTGCACCCTGTGAACAGCCTCTGGAGCGCAGGTACCAGGCACTGCCGGCCCTCGTCTGCATCATGTGCTGTCTGTTTGGAGTCGTCTACTGCTTCTTCGGTGAGACCCCCATCTCATCCATCATCTGAGCTCCCCATTGTTTCCCTGTTATTTTTCTGAGGCACCCCAAATCTTCTCCAGAACTTCACCACCACTACCACCACCACCACCAACTATCTTTTCTTTCTTTCATCCTACATGTTTGTAGATCATCTAGACTCTAGATCCTAGAGAACACAGGTTTTTGAATTAGGCATGCTTCAATTTGAACCTGGCTCTGTACCTGGTAAATATCATTGTTCCCACTGTTCAGATTAGAAAACTGCCTGAGCCTCAGTTTTCTAATCTGAACAGTGGGAACAATGATATTTACCTCACACCCACAGGGTTGTTGTGAGAATTAGTAGGGACTCAATAAATAATAGCTATTGTGGTGAAGATGTGTTTGGGTCACTGTGCTAGGTAGGCACTGAAAATATTTAACAGTGTGATTAAACATGGTCCCTTACCACAGGGCATAGATGGGGGAGAGACTTCTGGAACATCCACACCTGTGATACATATTACAGTTGACACTTGAACAACACAGGGGTTTGGGGTGCAGTAGAAAACCCATGTATAACTTCAGTTGGCCGTTGGCATCTGCAAATTCCCAACCATGGATCCAAAATACTGTTTTCAATCTGCAGTCAGTTGAATCCGTGGATGCGAAACCTGGGGATGTGGAGGGATGACTGTATATTTACTGAAAAAAAAACAAACCCATATAAGTGAACCCTCAAAGTTCAAACTCGTGTTGTTCAAGGGTCAGCTGTAGGGTAGGCTAGATGGTAGTCACACACATGGAGATCTCCTACAAGGCAGGCTCCAATAATCAGGGCTGCTGTGAACAGTTGTATAGGATGGGTACTGTACAAGGGAGATCAGTTGAATAGGCAAATGGGGCCTGAAATCAAGCCCATGTTCCACTTGACAAACTCGAGGCCTTGGCACGAGGCTGTTTTGCCTAGAGGAAGGCACATCTTTTTCTAATGTGCACAATGGTACCAGATGGACTAGTGGAGTTAACTGCCCAGTGACTTTACAGCAAGAGTTATAGAACTTCAGAGAGGAGGGTGAGCTCTATGGGCTGGGGAACCCAAGGAAAGCCTCCAGGAAGAGCATTATAAGCGACTGGAAGAAGTGCAAAGGAAGCTCGGAGGTCTGGATTGCAAGATGGGCAGAGGTGGGGCGAGACTTGTGCTCTGATACCTCTATACCTCCCCCCTAGAATGGCTGGGTAGTAGGCAGGAATGAGAGCCAGATGGTCCCTTTCCTTCCACCCCCAAACTCTTGGCTGAACAACTGCAGAGTGGGCAGGAGGAACTGCCCCTCTAAGGGTTTAGGACACATTCTGGGCCTCTAAGGAGTCTGTGTCACCTCACTCCCTCCCCTATTTAGATCTACTTGCTCTGCAGTTGCTCACTGCATCCTGACAGTCCCTCTCCTGGGCTTCCCTGGTACCCTACCCCTGTCGGATGCCCTCACTCCCTCGCCCGTGGACTCTGAGCCCTTGTGTATGCCCTACTCCTCTTTCTGACCCCAAAACTTCATAGACTTTGATGCTTGCTGTCATTCCTAGAACTGAATATCCTCTTTGACCTTTCTCTTTGGCTCTCCCTGACCCTTTGACCCCCATCTTCCCAACTGTTCAGGATCTACAAGTCCTCACTCTTCCAGGTACCTTTAATGGGTCCAATGGCCCTATAACCTCAATTTTCCTGAAATTCTGCAACCACTATTTCATCCTATAATCCTTTGACTCCCTATGAACCCTTGTAGCCCTAGGGCCCCCAAGCCACCCCCAGGTATCTCATCACCTTTCACCCTTCTGACTCCATTTCTCCTAACTCTCTGCTCCCTAGGATCACATTTCCTGATTGCCACTCCTCCAACCATGATTTCAATAATCCCATTTCTCTGGCCTCAATATTACCCCTTCTCTGAAACCCTTTAATACTCTCAATGACTCCTCATCTGTCAATCCGCCTGACCTGCAAAGACCTCACCTCCTGGAACCACTCCCTAATAACCCTGCTTCCCTGTGTTTTTGGGTAACCTTTTAATGATGTCTCTGAAGCCCTGTGACCCTTTGAAGACCTCCTTTTTCTGAACCTGTGTGACTGTCATCTCTCAAATTCTTTCTAACTTCCAAAAACCTCATTTCTCTGAACAATCCCTCCCCACAGACCCCAATGACTCTATTTCTGATCCCCTTGTGACCCCAGTGACCTATCTGTCTGACCCCTATCATCCCAAAGACCCTAATGACTCTATCACTGATTCACTTTTGACTCCTATGCCCTATCCCTGACTCCTCTGACCCTCAAAGACGCAGCACTCACCTCAATGACCGTCTCTCTGTTTTCCATGTGACTCTCAATGACCTGTCTCTCTGACCTCCCTTGACCTCAAAGGCCCCATCACTGGTTCCCTCAGGACCCTAGTGACCCCCAATTCTTTTATCTTAATGTCCTGCTTCTGGTTCCCCTGTGATTCCATGTTCCTGACCTCTCTGACCTCTTGCCTCCAGCCCGGTGACCTCATGCTGGCCCCTCACTGGTCCCTGTTCCCCTCCAGGTTACCGCTGCTTCAAGGCAGTGCTCTTCCTCACTGGGTTGCTGTTTGGCTCAGTGGTCATCTTCCTGCTGTGCTACCGAGAGCGGGTGCTGGAGACGCAGCTGAGTGCCGGGGCGAGTGCAGGCATTGCGCTGGGCATTGGGCTGCTCTGCGGGCTGGTGGCCATGCTGGTGCGCAGTGTGGGCCTCTTCCTTGTGGGGCTACTGCTCGGTCTGCTGCTCGCTGCTGCTTCCCTGCTGGGCTCCGCACCCTACTACCAGCCGGGCTCCGTATGGGGCCCCCTGGGGCTGCTGCTGGGGGGCGGCCTGCTCTGTGCCCTGCTCACGCTGCGCTGGCCCCGCCCGCTCACCACCCTGGCCACCGCTGTGACTGGTGCTGCGCTCATCACCACCGCCGCTGACTATTTCGCTGAGCTGCTACTGCTGGGGCGCTATGCTGTGGAAAGGCTGCGAGCTGCCCCGGTGCCCCCCCTCTGCTGGCGGAGCTGGGCCCTCCTGGCACTTTGGCCCTTGCTCAGCCTGATGGGCGTTCTGGTGCAGTGGCGGGTGACGGCCGAGGGGGACTCCCACACGGAAGGTGAGAGGGCATGGGCTGGGGTGGGCATGAGAGAAGTGGTGGGGCGGGGCTGAGCACTTGCAGAGTGGGGGAAGAACATGTCCACACCAGCAGAGTAAGGCCTCAATAGGGTTAGAGAAGTTACTTGCTCAGTGTCTGGGAAGATAGGATCTCAGTGGCACCATTCATTCCACAACAATGTATGGGGCAGTGGCTCCATGCTGAGCCCATTCCAGATACTGGGGATACAGCAGAGACAAAACAGAAAAGGTCCCTGTCCCTAAGGGGTTACATTTGGTTGGGGGGAGGCAGATAACAGACATGCAAACAAACAAGATAATTCCAGTCGTATGGAGTGACACGAAAGGATGATCTACAGAGGCTGTTATAGACAGGGTGCTCAAGGAAGACCACTTGGAAGAGGTGAAGTTTAAGTAGAGTCCTGAAAGACAAGGGGCTAGCCATGCAAAGAACTAGAGAAGAGGGAATAGGAAGGGCAGGCCCCTAGAAGGAATGGTCTTGGCTTGTTGAGGAAGTGGGGCTGGAGTGCGGTGACAGGATGCTGATTGTGTGGGCTCTCCTCTGGATTCTATTAGAAGGGCCATGAGATACTGTTGGAGATTTAAAGCGGGGAGTATATGATCTAACTTAGTATTTGGGCTACTTATTCTGGATACTGAGTGTAGAAAACACCAGGGAAGGCAAGCGTAGAAGGGGAACCAGTGAGGAGGCAGCTGCGGTTGTCCAGCAGAGATGATGATGGCTGGTCTTGATGAGTCACCTAGGGCTCAGGGTTGGGAGGGGGTAACAGCTGGGAAGGGGGTACCTAGAAGTCTAGGAATCTTCCAGAAAGACCTTTGGAGGTAAAGAACAATGGAAGTCCCATCTGGAAGGTGGAAGACCAGAAAAGGAAAGGGGAGAGGTTCTAGACAAGGGGAATCTGGAAGCCTGGAGCCCCCAGGTAGGAAGGGTGGAGATGAGGCCTGTGGGCCTGTGAGACCTTCTCTGCCCATTCCTTCCCAGTGGTCATCAGCCGGCAGCGACGACGTGTGCAGCTGATGCGGATTCGGCAGCAGGAAGAGCACAAGGAGAAGCGACGTAAGAAGAGGCCCCTTCGGGCGCCCTCTAGAGGTCCCCGGGCTCCTCCAAGGTCTGGGCTCCCGGACCCTGCTTATCGCCGCAGGCCAGTGCCCATCAAACGCTTCAATGGAGACGTCCTCTCCCCGGTGAGCACCCTGAGCTCCTCGAGTCCGAATGGGGAAAGAAGGGTGTTGTAAACTCTGTCCAAGCAGGACTGGGTCTTCCCCAGAGAGCTGGTCACTATCGTTTGGCCCACCCTGTGTAACCTCCGCACCCAGAGCCTGATGGGGGAAAGGTGTCTGAGTATGAATTTTAATGAGGATGGTACGGGGCATCCCTTAGGGTGGAGGACTATGGATGTGGTGAGGTCCTGGGCCTACAGAAGTCTGGAGTGAGTCTCAGGTTTGTGGGGGTGCAGGGAGAGGATGTCTGCCTGAGGTGGCTCTCAGGACGGGTCTGTGGCTGCACTCACACCTGTGTTTACTCTCCCACAGAGTTATATCCAGAGCTTCCGGGACCGGCAGACAGGGAGCTCACTGAGCTCCTTCATGGCCTCGCCCACAGACATGGACTATGAATACGGGTCCCGGGGACCACTGACAGCCTGCTCAGGGCCTCCTGTGCGAGTATAGCAGTACAGCGACTCCTGCCCACCAGGACTCTGGTCACCAGCTCTGTCAGCTTGGGGAGGCCTGCTAGGCCACCACCCAGCCTGCCTAGCCTTGTGGCCTATGGCTGTTTCTCTCTCCACCTGGAGAAGACTGGTCTGGCTGCTAGAAGGGAGGACCTGTCTCAGGCTAGGCCTGGCCTTACAGAAAGCTCCCTCCCAAGCTCCCAAGGGGCTCCTAAGAGATGTGGGGTGTGAGCCCCATTGGGGTGTGCTCAGGGTTATGAGTGTGTTACCTGTGTGTGTGTGTGTGTGTGTGTGCGCGCGCGCGCATGGAGAGGTGGGCTTGGAGGGGACACTGGGACCCTTGCCTTAGATTTCTAATCAGTAGGGCTTCTGCAAGGTTGGCCCCACCTCCTCTCCCACTGCTGGGGTCCCATGGGCCCCTCTCCTGCATGTCTAAGGGGAAGAGGCCTGCCTTCTTCCCTCATCACTCTGCCTCTCAACCAGACTCATCTAAGGCTTCTTGTCCTTATCCATGGGGCAAACTGCAGCACCCCTCACCCTGGTCCCCTGTCCTTTGCAAATCCACCTGCCTGAGGGCAATAGCAGGGGATAAGAGTGGGGGTGCTCTTCTGGGCTGGGTTGGGGAGGGGAGCTGGGGGAAGGGGACTTAAATGCACGATGCATGTATGGTGTCTGTCATGCCACCCTGGACACCTCATGCTTCTGTCTCCCCCCACCCCACCCTGTTTTACATCTTTTATAAATGTGCCAAACTGTGTGGCTTCTGCCAGGAGTGGTGGTCTTCAGTGGCTGGCACTTCCACGGGCCAAGTTAGAAGTGCTGTAGCTCTTGGTCCCCTGAGTCACTCACTACACAGGGGCTTCAGGCAAGTTCTGCCTTCCTCCATTCACACAGAGAGCCAGGGAAAGGGGCTGCACCACTTTTATTGTCTCCCAACACCTCTGGTTCCCCTGCCTCCCACCCCTGCCCGGGATAAGGGCATGCGCCTTCCAAGCTGTCCGAGGGCACCCGCCTGGCTTGGTTCGGTCCTTCTAGCTACCTGCAGAGGAATGACTCCACGTGGGGCTGGGGAGAGAGTGGGTACCACCTTCCTCCCCTGACAGAGCCTGGGCACCCGCAGAGGAAGAGCAAGGCCCTCACCCTCTGCCCCACCCTTTTTGGGCCTCTGTCAGGGCTATCTGTGGGGGCAGGAAAGTGGGGGTCAGTTAGCTGTGGCGCAAGACATTTTAAGGGAATGCGGGAATTTGGATGGAGGGTGGGGCATCTCCTCTGTGGAAGAGGAAGAAATGTGACTAGCTCAGGAGCCCTCTGCCCAGGCGAATACTGAACTCACTGAGATGGGCAGAAGCCAGCAGGGCAGAGAGCAGGGGGTAGGTAAGGGGTAGGTGGGGGCCACAGACCAGGAGCCAGCAGTTGGGAAGGAGGAACTCGGGTACAAATGGAGTGTTCAGGAGAGACAAACATGGTCCAAAGGCAGGAGGGAGCGAGGAGAAGCTGGGACAGGAAGGGGTGTAGAAAGGTGCGAACCGCTGCCCTGAACCAAGTGGTTCTTGTTGAGAATACACCTCCCTCCTTTCCTCAGCCGGGGTGAGATCTCCCGCTCCCCCACTCCCTACCTTCAACACATCCCAGAACCACTTGCCATCCCCAATCCTGGAAAACCTTCAGTAGGTGTGTCTCAGCCCACCAGCTCCTAGGCGACTCCTGCCTGGCCAGCCCTCCTGACCCTCTGCCCTCTGCCCAGTCCAGCGTCACTCACCCTCTACCAGCAGCCGCGTGTAGGCGCTGTCCTCACCGGCCTGGCAGCAATAGGTGCCCTGGTCCTCAAGCCGCACGTCATGGATGACCAGGCTGTGGGTGGGGCCATGGCTGCGCAGCTCGTACTTGTCTCCTGGGCACAGCTCGACCCCCTCCCGCAACCAGCACACTTGGCCTCCGGAGCGGGACACAGTCACCTCTAGCACCGCTCGGCGGCCGACCAGAACTGTCTTCTCGCGAGGAGGGCGGCGGCACATCTGGAGAGGCAGTGCTGGGGGTGGAGGACGAGGGCTTAAGTTAATAGGGACACACAGGGCCCCCAAGGAGAAGAAACGCATCTTCCCTTCCCCTGAGGCGTCCTCTCTTGGTCTCAGATCTCTATACCACCGGCCTGTTCCTCTGTACCCCCAATCCAAAGTCTCCTCCTCTCCATCTCCTCAGGAAACGCACTGCCCTCTGTGACCTGCCCCAGGAGAGCCCCTCCAGGAAGGAAGGTGGGGGAGGCAGCTTTTCTTGGACCAGCTGCCAGCCTGCTAGTCCCAGGGAAGGTGATGCCCATTCCTGGCCGCCGCCAAGCAGTCGCTTACCCTCCACCTCCAGCTGAGCCACGGACTGGGCTGGTCCCGCCTGGAAGCGGACCTCACCGGCGTCCTCCGTGCGCAGCTCGCTCAGCACCAGAATATGTTTCTTCCCTGAGGGTGAGGGGAGCACTAGCGAGGCCGGAGCCGCCTCTGGGGAGGGTTCGGGGATGAGGGTAGGTCCCCAGGTGCACTGGGGTGGGCGGAATTTAGATGCCTAGGGGTAGGAGGAGCCCGCCAGGACTGAGACCTCTGAGCTGGGGGCCGCGGAAAAACAGGGAGATGGCTCTTTGGGCCATGGGGCGGGGCCCATTCAAGTGGAAGGCGGGGCTTTTCCTAGTGGGGCGGGGTCTGTGTGAGCCGGGGGCGGGGCAGCAAGGGGCTTGAGTGGGTAGAAAGTTTGCCCCACCTTCCTGTCGGATGCGGACGCGGCCTCCGGGTTTCAGTGGGCGGCCTCCGAGCTTCCAGCTCCCGGTGCTTTCGACCTCCGACACGGTGCACTCGAACGTGGCACCGTCGCCTTCGCGGGCGCGCACAGACTGGAGCTCTGAGAGCACTGACACCACGCGCTCTGGGGCGGAGTCGGGGGAGTGAGGCGGGGCGGGGCGGAGGCACCCAACCATGCCCACGCCACGCCCCTCTCCCAAGAAGCACCGGAGTCAGTCGGGGGAGAAGGCGGGTCTGCAGCCCTATCCCACATCAGTACCCGGCCCCGACAGCGCCCCGTACCCACCGTGCACGGTCAAGCGGACGGGCCCGGCGCGAACCGTCCCCACCGCGCAGCTGTAGGTCCCGGCGTCCAAGGGGCCGCAGCGCCGCAGCTGGAGAAGGCGCCGTGTGCCGAGGGCCTGGAGCCTGAGCCGAGGGCTGGGGATGAGCGGGCTCCCGTCCTAGAAGCGGGAGCGGCAGAGGGTTGGAGTGAATTCGGCCGCGGCCCCTGGGAGGCGGCGGTGCCCTCTGTTGATGCCAAGCGGTTCTGAGGTGCGTTTATGCTTGTCTGTGTCCCCCCCACACACTGGAATCGGGCCGTTCTGCGCCTGCGGAGTGTTAGGAGCCTCACTGGGAAGGTGTCACCCTTTGGGGACATTAGGTCAGAAAAGGGGTGCCACGAGCGCGGGAATCCCAGAGTGACGTCATCCATCACATGGGCCATGAATGTGGATTCTGGAATTAGGCAAACTTGGATTCAAATATGGGTTCTACTCCTTTTGTCTGCCCCTGGGCAATGCTTCACCCCACTGAGCCTCTGTCTCCTTATAGATAACATGGAGATAACAAGACCGACCTCAAAGAGTTGATGTACACATTAAAGGATTAAATGTAAAGTAAATCTGAGCACAGTGCCAGGCACATCTGCTCAGCGAGTACAGTATTAGTTGTTTGGGGCATTATTATTGTTGTCTTGATGTCAAAGTGGGCTGGGCTGGGGCTGGACTCTGACCTTCTCCCAGGTAACATCAGCCAAGGCTTGGGAAAGCTCGCACTCGAACGTAGCTGTGTCGCCCTCAGTCACCTCTAGGTCTTGTGGCCCCTGCACGACGGTCACTGGGGCCTCTGGGAGTGGGAAAAGGAGGACAGTACAGAGGGAGCAGAGGTAAGGGCAGGATGGGGACCCAGCCCGCAGGGTCAGGGAGGACACACGTGGGCACCGGGGGTCAGTGGTGGACCCATTTAGACAAGGTGATTAGTGGAGGCCACTCGTGAGTGGGGGATGTGTGGGGACAAGTGGTCTGTGGGGGGTGCTCATCAGTGGAGGACACAGTGGGATTATAGGGGTCAGTGGGGCACGAGTGGCCAGCTGGTGTCACATTTTAAGGTGGTCAGTGGGGGACACGCTGGTGCTAGAACAGCATGGGGGAGACTGGAGTTGAGATGCCAGTGAAGTCACCCATAGACAGGCATGGTCAGTGGGGGCCACACTTGGCTGGAATGAACACGAGACAATGGACAGTGAGACACACAATGGATTCAGAAGAGCGATGGGCAGGGAGACCCTAAGCAGGTGTGGTCAGTGGGGAATACACTGGGCTAGAAGCAAAAATAGGGGACACTGAAGCAGAGTTGCTGGTGGAGTCACCTTAGGCACAGTGGATCCCTGGGACTTGAGTGGTCAGAAGGGCACACTTAAGCAGGCAGAGGTGATCATAGCAGGCAGGCATGGTCAGTGGGATCACACTCAGGCAGGGCAGTCATTGAAGCCACACGAGGCCAAAAGGGTCAGTGAGGGCACACTGGGACAGGCATGGTCGGTGAGGGCCACACAGGTAGTAGGATCAGTAGTCACACTGGGCAGTCAGCAGGCAGGCAGGCGGCGGTCCTGGAGGCCGCACCTCTCACGGTGAGTCTGGCTGCACAGCGCAGGGAGTCCGCAGTGAAGGAGATGCAGCCCGAGTCGGCCAGCCCCAAGCCACTGAGTACCAGGTGGTGAGTGGGGCCCTCTGCGTGAATGTGGCACTGAGGTCCCGGATGCAGCCGGACTCCACCCCGGGCCCATTCCCCAGTCACACCCTCCTGGGACAGCTCCAGCTGGAAGGTGGCGCTGCCCCCCTCCATGATGGTCACATCCTCCAGAGACCGCAGCACCCTTAGTTGCCTCGCTGGTGGGGGGAGATGGGGAGAGAGGGAGGATGAGGGTTCCAGCTCTGGGCATGGATTTTGGAGGGCTCACACACCCCTTGGCCCTACCTGTACCACTCCTAACACACAACCTAGTAAGGACCTATCAAATGAAACTCAGAACCAGGGTGCAGGAAGAAGGGAGAACAGCCCACCAGATTTGGGGGGAGAGAGGAGCTTACTGGGGTTAGGAGAGGGAACACAAAAAGGGGTAAGGTGTGGTTAGAGAGTTGAGGAGTCTGGGTGAGGGGTGCTATGACACTGGAAGGAGCATAGGATTTGAAGTCAGACATACGAGGATTGAACCATAGCTCTGTCATATAGTTTGGCTTCTGTGTGACCTTTGGCAAACTGTTTGACCTCTCTGGGCTGTAGTTTCCCCAATTGTACAAGGTGAATAGCATTGAGACATGGTTTTATTGTGATTAAATGAATGAAATAAATTAGAAGAGACTATGTATCACTAACAAGAACCATTTACCAAGCTCTGTGTGGTCATTTTTTTGAGTTATCTCAGTTAATGTTTCCAAAGACCCTTGAAGTAGGGATCAGCCTCTTTTTTTTTTTTTTAGCTGAGCCATCCTGCCACCTGTTGGCAGCTCAGCGGCAGCTCAGCTCAGGCCGGGCATCGAACCGCTGTTGCTCAGAGCTCAAACTCTTGAGTGAGCTCTTAACCAACTGAGCCACTTGGCCGGCCCCAGCCTCATTTTTAAGACTTGGCTCAGAGAGGTTAAGTAATTTGCATGAGGTCACACAGTTAATAGAGGGTTCCAGATTGGGGGGCTTGGGGGTGCTATCTGCCAGCCATCCCTGCTTCTGAAATGGGCCCATGTAACCTGGAGCATGTGACTAAAGGATAAACACTGCAAGTCTTACTGGAGTATATTGATGTTTATAGCAAAGCCAACTTTGCCCATGTGGGCAAAATCCACATGGACTTCTAAGTTAAATAGAAAATATTAGAAAAAGAAAAGTTTTGCTTTGGGCAGGTAGCTTCAGGTTACACTCCTGGAGGTCAGCCAGGGCTGACTTGCCTCAGCTGCAAGGGGCACTTTGGTGGGGTTCTGAGGGGCCCTGGGCCAGCCAGCAAAGGCTATGCCATGGGGTGGGCGAGGTGTTAGGAGAGGACAGGGCACTCACGCCTTACGCAGAGCCTAGCCAGGGTTCGATCGTGGTGGCTCTCACAGCCGTAGGTGCCCTGGTCAGCCAGTACGACGTCATGGATGAAGAGGCGGTAGACATGGCCATCCTGGGCCACAGACAGGCGAGAGTCATGGGGTAGGGGCTCCCCACCTCGCACCCAGCGCACGGCCCCTGCTGCACCCACTCGGCCTGTCTCCACTTCAAGGCACACATCCTGGCCTTCTTCTACCCGCACATCCTGCAGCCTCCGAAGGAACAGCAACTCCGTTTCTAGGGAGAAAGGGGGATGGTTGCCATGGAGACTGGTGGGGCCTGGAGGCTGACCCTCTGCTCCATTGTCAAGGGCACAAGGTCAAGGCTGCTAGGGTTGGGACTGGGAGAATAGATACAGGGAACAAGACAATTTCTTCCCCATCAGGACCAAACCTCGAACGTGGAGTCGGGCACTTGAGGCTGTGCCTCCTGCTTGGGCAGTCACGGTTCCTGCATCTTCCAGCTGGCACCCTCGCACGGTCAGTGTGCGGCTTGACCCATTCTGGGCTATCTCTAGGTGGGGCCCTGGAGTGACAATAGCCCCATTGCGCAGCCAGGTGACTTCGGCATCTGAAGGGGAGACTTCGCACCGGAATGTGGCATCATCATCTTCATGGACAGTTAGTGGTGTCAGCTCCGAGACCAGTTTCACCAGCGGTGGTTCTGGTGGGAGGTGGTCAGGCAGTGAAGTGGGCTGGGTCTTTCCCCCTCCCTCTTCATCCCCTCTAGAGGTTACAGGCCCTCACCCCCCAGTTATTTAACAGACCTTTCCTGAGGCCTACTGTGTGTCAGCCATGGGAGTGTCCCAAAGGACTAGATGCTAACTCCTTTCAAGCCTGGCCGGGCACCCCACTTCTCTGACTTCCTAATAAATCATTTATCATGGACCTACTTATCTCATTTAACTGTCACAATAGTCCTAAAGGCAAGTACTGTCCCCATACTTCAGAGCTGGGGCTCAGAAAGCTTAAGCGACTTGCCAGTGTCATCCAACTACTGAGATGCAGAATGCAGATTGGAGCCTGGGTGGGTCATTCCAGAGCCCCTGTTTTTAACCACTGGGCTATGCCTCTTCCTATTCTGAGGGTTCCTGGACAAGGGGGCCCTTAGTCCCCATCCAAGGAACAGTTATGCAAATTGGTTGGAGTCAGAGGCATAGAGGTGGGGTGGGGGATAAGGGGGGGCCTGAGAACAGTGCAGGGGTGTGGACCTTGGCGGACCAGGGCCCAAAGGGTGTGAGGGGTGCACTGTTACCTTCCACACTGACGAGGAAGATGCGGCTGTCCTGGGGTGCGTCGCACAGGTACTCCCCAGCGTCCCCGCTCCGTGCCCCCCGCACCCGCAGCACCTGCCTTGCCCCGGCCTGCTCCAGCTGTACCCGCCCCTGGCTCGCCAGTCGCTCCCCGTCCTTGTACCAGCGCACAGTGCCCCCCGGCCCGGAGAGGTGCACCACCAGCTCTAGGTCCCCGCCTGGGGTGCTGCGAACCCTCGTCTGGGCCGCCTCGGGGGCCACCACCCGCACAGGGGGCTCTGTGGGGGCAGAGCTGGGGGTCACTGGGAGGAAGTAGCTCAAGGGCTATAAAGAGGGCAGTGGGAGGCAATATGGGGAAAGGCACTGAGAGAGGTGGGCCAAGGAATGGACAAGGCGTGCTAGAGAAGCAGGGAAACTCATGGGTTTGGGGTGCAGCTCTTACACTTCCTGCCCAGGCTGTACTCACCAGCCACTTGGACAGTGAAGCTGAGGCTGGGGGCTCCTGGGGCCACCCCCGCCTGGCAGGTGTAGAGGCCTGTGTGGGCTGGCTCTGCAGCCTGGATGCAGAGGATGCGGCGGGGGCCCTCGGCACGGAGCTCCAAGCCCTCACCCTCCTGCACTGGCCTCCCGTTGTGGCTCCAGAAGACAAGGGCACTAGCCCGGGACAGTTCACAGCTCAGCACCATCGGCTCCCCGGGGGCCACACAGAGCGGGCCAGGGGCTGCCTCTGGGGCAAGGAACTGGACAGGGGGCTCTGCATAGAGAGAGGAAGGGATCAGCTCAGGCTGGCTCCCACCTCCCCCACCCAGGTCTGCCAGGAGCACCCACCAGCCAGGCAGACATTAAAGGTGACAGCTTCATCGTGGGTCTCACACACATACTCCCCAGCATCCTCGGGCTGGGCATGGGGCAGCGTCAGGGTGCGAGAGGGCCCCTCAGCACCCAGCAGCAGGGTGTCTGATGCTTCCACCTCCAGTCCATCCTTGTACCAGCGCACCTGGGACCCAGCAGGGGCCACCTCACAGCGCAGCTCCACGCGCCCTGGAGCCCCAAACTGCAGGTCCAGGGAGCGGGCTGCAGGACGCACAATTCTCTCTGGTGGGGCTGGTGGGTGGACAGAGAGAGGGGCACATGGGCTTAGCCTCACCTGCTAGCTTCTCAGCCTTCTCCCTTTGTAGTGCACCTCTTGGGAATGGTACCAGCTACAACCCATGGGCACTTACTGTGTGTGCCAGGCTCTGTGCTAAGCACATTGTAGCTCCTTTCTGTCTACTCCTGACACTCCCTAGAGGGATACTGCTGCTGGTTTCACTTTACAGATGAGTACCTGAGGCCTCTTTAGAGGGAAGTGACTTGTCCAAGGTCACATAGACTGAAAGAGGTAACCCAGATCTGTCTGACCCCAGTGCACATCCCTCCTACCCCACTCCACCCCCTTCCTATCCCCTTTCCCTGCTTTGCCTTCGATGCACTTACATCACCTGAAAAAACATCTATTTTACTTATTTGTTATCTGTCCAATGTCATTCGAATGCAAGCTCCGTGAAGACAGGAGGTTTTCTCTTATTGGTTCACTACTGTATCCATCAGCATCTAGAACGGTGCTTAGCACATAGTAGTTGCTCAATAAGTATTTGTTGAATAAACGAATGTATGAGTACTCCTAATTGCTGGAGTCTCTCCACTAGGCCCCTGGTCGCTGTCCTGACCTGGTTTGGACCAGCCAGGGCTCTCTGATGGCTGAGAATAAGGAGGCTGGAGAAGGGGAAGGTTGTGTGGGGCGGGAGGGGACCCCGAAGATGCAGGCAGTCGGAGGTTTGGGTTTCTGTTCCTCAACTTCCTGCTTCTCTAACTCTCCAGGGTGCTCTAGAGACTGCCCACCTGTGACGGTGACAGTGAAGAAGGCTGAGTCATCTCCAGCATCGCACACGAACTCGCCCCCATCCTCGGGCTGGGCAGCAGGCAGCACCAAGCGGCGGCGGGGCCCGTCACTCTGCAGCACCAGGGCCTCGCTCTCCTCCACCTCCAGCCCATCCTTGTACCAGCGAACTGGGGCATCCTCCCTCGACAGCTCACACATCAGCACTATACATTCCAAGCTCACCGCGATCAAGGTCACCTCATCCCGGGGGTATATGATGCGCACCGGGGGCTCTGCAGAGTGGGGACAATCACATGCTGTCACAGACTCACCATCAGCCTCCCTGGAGCCATCTGGCAGCATGAAGTCCCTATCACCCACAATAATAAGAGTAATGAGGATATTAGCAAGGAATCATAGGTCTGCAATCTGTTCTCTGAAATCCCTGGGGCCAGAGGTGTGACAGAATGCAGAATGCTTTGGATCCCAGAAATGGTGCATTGATCACGTCACATACCCTCCCCCCTTTGCCCTCACTGGGACAACTCCCACAATCAATCACATTAACATTTTTTCAGTGTGACATACATTTGTATTCACTCTAAGCAGGATAATTAAAGAGTACAAATAGCTTCACAGCAGTTAAGCTTAGGTTTTACTGAAACGATCTTGAATAATACCAAACTTCCAAAAAGCCTTTTGATTTTCAGAGATTTCTGGATTTCAGAATTGTGGATAAGGGACAGTGGATCTGTAATAGCAAATACTTCTATAATATAACCAAGGTTCCAGGAACAGTCCTAAGCACTTTACACATGTAACCCTCACAACGATTCTAGGAGGTAGGTATTGTTTTATCACCATTTTCCAGATGAGGAAACTGAGGCACAGAGTGATTAAGCGACTTCCTTAAGGTCATAGCTGGCTACACCTACTCTAGGGCAGGAGGAAGAACTACCATCTGTTAAAGGGAGCCTCAGGCTCTGCAAGTAGTGGTAGGGATTCCAAGCCAAGGCTTGCAGGAACTTAGTAATAACTTTTGCGTCTGTGCATGGGTTACCAACACCTGTCTGAGAGTTCCCCAGGGACACTAAACGCTGATTCTGGGAGTACATCTCCAACTGTTGGAAAGTGGTTACTCTCCATAGAGAGAAAATTACGGCAATATTATAGGTGGCGGTGCACTGAGCCGGGACCTGCTCACATGCTCACGCACCCTGGGGGGTCTCCCAGAATCTTGTCTCCGGGACACTTGAGAGCTCCTTTAGTATTCGGCCCCCTTGTGGCCGGGCTGGGGAACTGCTAGCTTCCCGGACTAGTGCAGGTGCGCGAGCATGGGCAGACAAGCCCACCAGCACACACTCAACCCTCTGCCTCTGCAATCCACCTCCCTACCTGGGCTTGTTCTGAGTCTAGAGAACTCAGGCTGGTTCTCCGGGGCCCAGCAAGCTGGTCTATTGCAGAGTGCAGCTGCCTGAGAGGTGGGGGGAGGGTATGGAGGCAGTAGGGTGAGGACAGGGTGGAGTGAAGGGGCTGGGGTGCCTGCACAGCCGTTGGACCTCAGCCTACCATCAGACTTGATTCTCCGTGGTCTACAGCTGAGGTGGTGGTGTGTGAACTTCCCTGTGAAGATTCTGGTGTTTTGTGGGGAGGCCACATGTGGGCTGGTATGTGTAAGGCTGCGGCCATTATTTCTGGCCAGGGCTTGGGTTGGGAGAGCTTAAAGAGACTCACTACAGGGCAGAACATGTGCAGAACGGCCTCTCTGGCTTTGTGGGCTTGTGTGTGCCAGACTTCACTATTTGAGGTATAGAGAGTTGGGGACCCTAAGCAGCTCAGCCTAGGCTAAGGCATTATTCCTAGGGCAGGGCAGGGGAGGGGTGAACAGACTGTACCAGCAGCAGGATGGTTGCTCCAGTGCAGCTAGTGGGGTTCTTCTGTGCCACCCCGAGCTGCCTAGGCCCTTCGACCCCCCAACACCTCCACACTGGGATTGGCATTGTGGGCTGCAGCCCCAAAGCTTCTGGCACTGAATGACCATCGCTTCCATAATGTCCTGTGCTTTTCCCACTTTGAACATTCTCCCCGCACCTTCAGCCCAAACCCGAGCCCCCCACTTCGCTACCTCAGCCCCTGCTCCAAGCATCCATTTTGAAGGCTCTTGCTGCCGGCGGACCAGGTTAACAGCCCCCAGCCTTAGGCTCCCACCGCACCCTACCACGACACTATACATATACACCCCACACTCCAAGACCCTCTACAGCAGCGGTTCTCAACCTGTGGGTCGCGACCCCTTTGGGGGTCAAACGACCCTTTCACAGGAGTCGCCTAAGACCATCGGAAAACAAAAAGATATTTACATTACTATTCATAACAGTAGCAAAATGACAGTTATAGAGTAGCAACGAAAATAATTTGATGGTTGGGGGTCACCACAACATGAGGAACTGTATTAAGGGGTCACGGCAGTAGGAAGGTTGAGAACCGCTGCTCTATAGTGTCTGGCTTTCCTGCCAGGCTGTGAGCTCCTGGAGGGAAGCAGGCGTGTCTGTCTGCGAGCTGCTGAGCAGGCGGGCCCTGCCCAGGGTAGTACGGCGGCTTTCTCGAGGCCCTCCCTTGACTCTCCTGCTCTGCTCTCTTGAGCCCTCTGCCCTGGTCCCTCACAGCACTTGTCACAAGGTATCACTGTACATTTATTTGCGTGTTTATTGATTTAACACAGGGGTCGCAAACTCATACCCACAGGGGCCAGGTAAGTAAGGTCAGTGGCTGAGGCGGTCTGGGGAGAAGTAAAAAAAGAAAGGGTGGGGCGGGTGGGACAGGAATGTGGGCCCCGTATGTGTGACGGGGGCAGCTGCTACTCAGCGCCAGCTGTTCGTCGCCATGGGGGAAAGCGGGACCAGAGCCGCCGGGTCTTCGGCTTTTTCAAGAGGACGCATAACTCCGGATTGTTATGTGAACTTTCCTGACTTTGGTAAGATTCTGCAGGCCAAACAAAACAAATCTGTGGGCTGCGTGGGGCCCCAGGGACTGCCCATTTGCGACCCCTGGTTAACAGCGGCTGCCCCAGCTAGACTGGCAGCTGAGCACAGGGGCCAGGTCTGCATTATGCACCAGTTACCCACAGCACCTGGCCCTGCCTGGCACAAAGAAAGTGCTCAGTAAATGAGCCGGTGGAGCGTAACTATTCCTGACCTTGGGCACCAGGGTCAGGAGCCTGCTCGCTCGAATAGGGGACCCTGGGCTCTTCCGGGCAGACAGCCCTGGTACATGCACCCACAGTCCACCTCCCCCCTCCTCAGGGTGCTAGCTAGGGGCTCTGTGGCCAGTTCCAATGGCTCAGGACTGTCCTTTGGTGACCCCGGGCAGCTGGGGTGGGCCCACACCTGTGACAGTGACGGTGAAGGAGGCTGACTCGTCATCGATTTCACACAAGTACTCGCCGGAGTCCTCGAGCTGGACCGCGGGCAGCACCAGGCGGCGGATGGTGTCCTCCTTCTGCAGGAGCAGCGCCGGACTCTCCACCACTTCTTCACCATCCTTGGTCCAGCGCACCTCGGCCCAGGGCCGGCACAGCTCACAGGTCAGCACCACGCGCTCCAGGCGCACGGCTGCTACGTACACCTTGCCACTGGGGTACACAATCCACGAAGAGACATCTGGAGGACGGGGACAGCATGGCTGAGCGTCAGGGGCTTGGGCCTGTGGGCCCTGCTGCCCTGCCTGATCCACACCTGTTCCCTACTCCTGGAAAATGGGCCACGTATTGAACAAGAAGGCCCTCCCTTGGACAGTCTCACAGCTACTCAGGCACTCACAGCTGGAGACAAAACCGGTCACCAAAGCACATCGGGCACATGTAGAACATTCCACGTTCTCTAGGTTGGGACAGTGACAGTATGAAGGATGGGACCAGGGAGAGGAGAGTTGGGTGCCCAGATGGAGCTGGGGTCTCCTGCAGGCCTCAGATCTTCTGATCCCTCGGATGCCCCCGTCCCCCGGTTCTAGACCCCACCTAGGACCTGCTCTCCAATAGCACTCTCTTCCCTCAAGCTCCCCTTGGCAGGGGTCTTCAGGAAAATGGAAAAGGCAGTGCTTCCCTGTGATTTGTTTACTCGTAGCTATGACCAGCATGTTTGCGACAATGCATTTCCTGCGGTGACTGAAACTCAGGGTGCAGACCATGGGTTGGGAGAAGGGGGGCATGTTATCCGCTTGGGGAGGGAAGCATGGTCTCGAAATAGTGGCGCAGGAGTGAAAGTGTGACAGCTGCCCAGGCAGACCAGGGAGCACCTTCTTCTGTTCCATAGGTCTGCCTGGACCCCCACCTGTGATGGTGACGGTGAAGTAGGCACGCTCGTCTCCCGCGACACACTGAAACTCGCCCCCGTCGGGGGGCTGGGCGGCAGGCAGCACCAGGCGGTGATGGGGTCCTTCGTTCTCCAGCAGCACGAAGTCACTCTCCTCCACCTCCTGCCCATCCTTGTACCAGTGTACAGGGGCGTCCTCTCGGTCTAGCTCACAGGTCAGCATGACGCACTCAGACGTTATGGCATGTACAAACACATGCTCCTGGGGGTCCAGGATGTGCACTGGGGGGTCTAGGGGGAGCAGAGATAGGATCACACAGAAAGCCCCCACACAAGAGACACGAGTCCACACTGGCCGCTTGCCCAGGACACAGTCTCCTCTCTGGAGGACACTGGGAGGGATAATGCCATGTGTGCAGGGGCCTCTGGGGTAATGACGGGATGCTGCAAGTGTGGTGGGTGAGGCATCACAGGAGATCACGTGGCACCGGAATGCTGTGAGTCCCCAGAGGATCAGAGGTCACTGGGTGGGGATATGGAGGGAGGGAGGCACAGAGAGCCTTTGTCTAGGCTGAGAGGTCATTATCACAGGCCACGTCAGGGCCAGGTTTGCTGGTTTTACAAAGAAGCCCCTGGTGCACTGGTCGCAGGTGGGGCAGAAAGGGGTGCCGCAGTAGGACAGCTGCTCCCTGTAGATAGGTAGTTTCTTGTCACTGGGTGCATTCAGGCAGGGGCTAGAGGACCTCCTGGCAATGGAGCTGAAACAGGGTTTCCACTTAAAGTGAAATGAGCTGGATCAGTGGTTCCCAAGATGCCCTCCCAGAGTAGAAACTCAGGCTCTGTCCTGTGTATGCTGACTCTGGAGGTTTGTGGGGCCTGGGCATGCACACTTATAACAAACTTCCAGGGTGGCTCTGAAGCAGCCAGAAAATGGCCTGGCTTCTGAGAACCACTGGACCACTGCACTTAACGCTTCCCTTTGACTCTGGCCACCTGGGACAGAGGGTAAGCACAATCCTGGGCGTGAACCCAGCTGGGGTGTTCGCTGGCTCTGTGATAATGGGCAAGTCACATAACCTCTCTGAGCCTGTTTCTTCATCTGTGGACTGGAGATACATTGCCCCTCATCTAGTTGTGATGAGTAAACGAAAGTGTATACCTGAAGTATGTAGCAAAGTACTTGACTAGATGTCCAGCAGATGTTAGCTCCCATCCCCCTTCCCTCAGTTGAATTTAGTTGCCTCCACTCTGCCCCAGCAGACAGTTTGCAGCAGGCAAGTGTGTTGGAGGTGCGGGTGTATGGGAGGATTAAGAAGCAAGTGCAGGGTGATCTGAAAACATGTCCCCTGGTCCACCAGGACCTTCCGGGAGGGGACCCCCCCCCAAGCAGGCAGACCAGGAAGCAGGGCTTGCACGGCTCCAGTCTGCCTCAGCTGGAGGAGCCCGGGCTGCAGTGGTTCCTGACCTTGGACAGTGACGCTGAAGAAGGCCGACACCCCTTCAGTTCTGCACTCAAACTCGCCGCTGTCCCGGACTTCAGCTGCAGGCAGGATCAGGCGGTGTTTCCGCCCATCTGTCTTCACCACCAGCGACTCGCTCTCCTCCACCTTCTGTCCATCCTTGTACCAGCTCGCCGGGAAGTCCACCCGAGAGAGCTCACATGTCAACACCACCTGCTCTGAGGTCGTGAAGTTCAAGGACACCTTGTCCTGGGGGCTCAGGATGTGCACCGGGCTCTCTGCGTGTGGAGAAGCGTTGTCACACGCAGGCCCCTGTCATGCATGGCCTGGGACAAGCACACACCCCTTCCCCCTGATGCATGTGCTCACTGTAGAGGGGGGAGACATCAGGCCAGACAACTGCTGTCCACACATTTGTTATAATTTTAAAAAATAGGTTTTGGCTTACACATCAACTCTTAGAAACAGTGGTTTCAGTGTACAGAATTCCTAGGGAGCCTGCTAGAAATGTAATTCTTAGACACCTCCTCCCCAGTCACACGAAGGCCAGGGAATCTGCATTATAACCCAAACCTCCAGGTGACTATGATGTTGGTGACCCCGGGTTGCATTTTGGAAATGCTGCTCTTGCTACTGGTTATTTCTTACTTTGTCCTCTTCCCAGGATGCTGGCAGCTGACCACCTGAAGGCCCTGTGCATGGGCACCAAGGAATTCCTTGGCTGGCCTTACAATCTCCAGCAATGGTCAGATGGCAAATGTCAGTGTGTTCCCTGAACTTTATGACCCCCACTAAGAGCTGTCCTCCTCAGGGAACCTCATTCCTTCTCCTTCTTTGTCTCCACAGGTGGCAGAGTGTACTTGGAGCCAGACTGCCTGGGTTCACACTCCAGTACCACCACTCATTAACTCAGTGACTTCCTCTGAGCAAGTCACTTAACCTCTCTGTGCCTCAGTTTCCTCATCTGTAAAATGGAATGACAAAAGAACCTATCTTGTAGGGCTGTTGAGAGCACTGTGTTAATATATGTAAAGTGATTAGGACTGTGGCTAGCACGTAGGAAGTAGCTATGACAGTGTTAGTGATTATAAGATAGGGCAGGAAGCTAGGGGCCTAGGGGCCAGGGTCTGGGTCACAAATGTGACAGAGTTCTGTAAACTAAGAAGCACAATAGAGGATTTGGATATGATGCTGTTGAATTAACAAGGGGTCCCCTGTATGATACTTGTGGGTTGAAACCGGGTTTCTGGACTAAGGCCTCGCTCTGAGCCCGTCACAGGTGTTCCTTATTCTCCTGGCCCAGATGGGAGCAGCATCTACTTCATTTTGCCAACGGGACCTGTACTGTGGCCCTATCTGCCCACCCTGGTCCCACTAACACCAACCTTGGATGGTGAGGGCGGCAGAGTCCTGCACGCCTGGGCAGCTGAAGCCGACCAGGGCCCCGCTGTCCTGGTGCTTGACGGCTTGCAGGATGAGTCTGTGCTGCAGGCCCTTGTGCTCCACACGGTACCGCAGGGCCCCAGGCTCTACCTGGCCCTCCGGCTCAGTACCCTTGAGCTCTTCTCCGTTAAGGAACCAGGTACCCTGGATGATGGTGGAGAGGTCAAGGGAGAAGACAGCATCTTCCCCATCGTATACTTGCACATCCTCCAGACCTGTTACCAGGCGAGCTGTGGGCACTGAGATGGGGACAGAGTGCAGCCATCAGAACCACAGCGGTGGCAGAGGGCAGAGGTTTGCTATTTAAGAGGACAGTAGCCGAGGGCTGCAGAAGGGAGGAGAGGGTGCGACTCGGGATAGAGCCACCGACAGGCTGGGTCTGGCAGGACAGACTCACCGAGGTGAGCAGACCCATGGAACACAACGTGGGGACTGCGGCCGTGTTCGCTGACCGTGCAGACTCGGAAGCGGTAGTCGCCCTCGGAGGGCACACAGTCTCCCGGCACCTCCACGGCTCCAGCCTTCTCAATGCTAAAGCACTGGATCCAGTCTTCCGAGCCCACCTCCTGCCGCTCCAGCCGGTAGATGAAGGGGGTCTCAGGAGCTGGCTCGGGAGGCTTCCAGGTCAGCAGGACCGTGTTCTTGTGGCCCTTGAACATCTCTGCCAACACTGGTGGTCCCGGGGGATTGTGCTTCACGCCTGAGACAAAGGCAGAGTCTGTATTTGAGCCCTGCTCCAGCCTCCTACCGCCCTCCCACCTTAAGTCCACTTTGCCAACCTAGACTCTGGCATTTGGTCACCCTCCCACCCTGTCTAGCCCTTGAGGAGTCTGCCTAAGGGTTTTCACGCCCTCACATTTGACTCTGAGAAGAGTGGTGGTGCGGGAGTTGCCCAGGCTGAAGGTGACCTCGCCAGCATCTTCTCGGGTGACCCCCGGAAGGACTAGGGCATGCATGTGGCCAGAGCTGCTCTGGCAGGTGGTTGGCAGGTCCTCCCCATCCCGGCTCCAGCGCCCCTCGACCCCAGCTTCTCGCGTCTCCACCAACAGCACCGCATTCTCGCCCTCCAGGACGTCCAGCTTCCGGGGCAGCCGCTTCAGGATGGGCCCTGAGATGTGGACGGGAGTCCATTAGCCTGGGGTCGGGGCACCGGCCTGCTTCAGCCTCGGCCTCCTCCCACTGGCCAGCCGACCTTTGACTGTTACGTTGGCCACAGTGCGCACTCGGCCACGCATTTCGCACAGGTAGACGCCATCATCATCTGCTTTCAGCCTGTGGATAATGAGGCGCCTGACGGTGCCCTCCTCAATCTGCTCATACTTGCGGCAGGGCAGCAGCCGTTGGTCCTCACGGAACCAGGCCGTGGGAATGCGGGAGTTGGGGACTTTGCACTCTAGCACGGCAATCCCATGCTCCCGGCCCTCCACGTCCTGCAGAGGCCTTGAGAAGCGAAGGCGGGGCTCTGTGGAAAGGGGAGAGACCAGAGAAGGCTCTGGAGAGGGCCAGACCAGGACTCCTCCTAGCATCATCAACTGCCTACACCCACATTAGCTCACGCCGTTTGCTTTTCTCCCAGAGCACGAAGGCTTTGTGGAATTATAGAAAAACAAAAACCTCCAGAAGGGGACATCAGATGGTCTAAATTCACATCTCACCCTGACACTCACTAGCCACATCGCCTCCAGCAATGCCATTTTAGTGATCCTGGGCCTCAGTTTCCTTACCTGTATAATGGGGAAAGGGATGGAAGGGCTTGGACCACATCAGTGATTTTCAAAATGTTCCCTGGGGCCCCTCAGAGGCACTGCACAAATTCTGTGAGGGTCTGAGTTTAATTTCCTTTTTAAAGTACTTTAAGCATTGCTGGAGAAGTGTGTTGTTGTGCCGCTCTGGGAAGGTCTGCCTTCCTGCTGGGCTTTTTTTCTCTTGATGGAGTTAAAGAGTTCAGCCTGCCTGACCAGTGTACGCACATCACCATACCCACGAGGCCACCTGCTTGAATGCATGCCAGGCAGGGCTCAGGAAATCTGCCAACTTTTTTTCCTCTGAGGGAAAAAGTTGGGCAATAACTACTAAAGATATAATCCTGCAAGTTGTGAGGAATTCCTATCATGGGGAGCTTTAACTTCCAGTGTGAGTTTGGGGTGTTTTCCCAATTTCTGTTTATGAGCATTTATTAGATGTTGGGTGACTCAACTTTGAAACACACATTTCCTCTCCTTCACCTTCTTCTTGCAAACCTGGGACAGCAGTCTAATGAAAGAACAGTCAAAAATCGCACAGCAATTTTTATCCCTTAAATTTACCTTCACTCTGAATCTAGAGTTTCTCAATGTGACTGTTTGCAGCCAGGCCTTCTGACAGACCCAGTGATGAACGCAGCCTTCTCTTAAACTGTATATATTCAATAAAACAGCTCCCTTGTTCTCATTGATTGGCTTTCTAAGGACATGTTATAAATCTGGACTTAAGAAATTTACTGCCAAAAATGATCCTTTTCTCTTTCTTCTATATTGGGGGCCTAGATGGGATTTCTATTGGGGGAGGGGAAGTAAAATAACAAAGGTTGAAAAGAGTTCTAGGCTCTCCTTGGTTTGTCCATCAATCACGTCTTAAAGCCTTTAATCAAAGGGAGGTTTTCCACCACCTGCCTCAGAACCACTTGGGGAGTTTGCTAAGGAGTTCCTGGGTACCTTGGAGACCTACTAAATCCGAATCCCTGGGGGCAGGAAATGGGATTTTAGTACTCCCTCCCCAAAAACGTCTTCTGGGGCTGGAGTTGGGCGGGCCCGGGAGGAGGCGCCGCCGTACCTTTGACGTGCAGCTGCACGGCGCTGAGCGTCTGGCCCGCCGAGTTGCGCGCGGCGCACACATAGAGACCGCGGTCCTTGGCCTGGCAGTAGAGCACCTTGAGCACGAAGCCGCCGTCGCGGTCGCGGTACATGAGGCGGCGGCGGTCGGGGAGCAGAGGGCGGCCCTCCCAGTGCCATTCGATCTCAGGCTCGGGCTTGCCCATCACGTAGCAGCGGAACTTGGCGTGCTTGCCCTCGTTCACCCAGAAGGTCTTGGGCGCGCCCTTGACCGGGTCCACCACCGGCGTGGGGGCCTCGTCGGGGTCCTGGGGCGGGCTCTCGGGAGGCTGGTGCACCTGGAGCAGCGCGCCCGCCTGCGCGTGGCCGTGCGCGTTGCGGGCGTGGCACACGAAGACGCCCGAGTCGGGCAGCCGCGCCGCCAGGATGCGCAGGGCTAGGCTCGCGCCCCGGCCGCCCTCGGCGCGGCCCGGCTCCAGCGCGAAGTGGCCGCTGTCCCACACCTCGTCCAGGGCCATCCCGTCCTTCTCCCAGTACAGCGTGGGCACGGGGAGGCCCCCCACCTGGCACGTCAGCATCACCTCCGCTCCCCGCAGCACCCACTGCGACCGGGGCCCCGTCAGGAACACCGGGGCGCCCTCCCCGGTCCCGGGCGGCGGCAGCGGGCGCTCGGCGGGCTGGGGCTCCGGCTCGGCGGCCGGCGGCTCCAGCACGGTGACGGCGGCCGCCGCGTAGGCCTCCCCGGCCGCGTTGCGGGCGCGGCACACGTAGACCCCCGCGTCGGTGGGCAGCGCGCCGCTCAGCAGCAGGCAGTGCTCGGCGCCGTCGGCCGGGAAGCTCAGGCGCTCCGAGGCCGCCAGCTGCTGCCCGCCCTTCTCCCACAGGACAATGGGCGGAGGTTCCCCCAGGACCACGCACTTGAGCTCAGCTTCAGCGCCACTTACCACCCGCACGGGGCGCGGGAAGCGCAGGAAGCACGGGGGGCTCCCCTGATCTCCCGATCCCGCCTTCATCGCGGCGGCCGCAGACGACCCGCAGCCGCGCGGGGGAAGGGCGTGCGGCGGACGCGCGGAGGCCTGGAGCCCGGGAGGCGGGGCGCGTCCGGGCACCCGGCGTGGGGATCCGTGGGGCTCTCCCTCTGGCTGCCCGCTCCCGGGTCGCCTCCTTACCGTCGGCCCAGAGCTGCAGCTCTGCGGCGGCGGCGATGCCTGGGCCCCGAGCCCAGAGCTCAGGGGGCAGTCCTTCCTGTTTGCCTTTACAGCGAGGGGCCCCGCGGCCTCCTCTGCCCGCGGCCTGGCTTCCTGCTCCAGAGAGCCTCTCTTCCCAGCCCCCTCCCACAGCCTGGGCCTCTTTCCCCTCCTCCTTCCCACCTCCAGCCGCCAGGTCCCCAACCTCCCGCCAGGCTAGGGCCTGAGTGGCAGAGGCGCCTGCAGCTGCCAATCCCAAAAATATTCTCTGATGACACAGCTGGAAGACAAGAGCCCAGACTGGCACCTCCAGGCTAAGTTTAGAGCAGGCGGGACCACCTGCCCCCCGCACTAACCCCAGTTCTAGCCCCAGCCTCAGCCCTTCCCCCTATGACTGGCCCAGCAGCTGTTTGCCTGAAAGGGGTCCCAGAAGGTCTGAGGGGCTGGTGTATTCTGTCACCCTAACAAATAACACTTTTAGGAGTTGGCAGGCCCCAGCTCCCAGCCTCCTGTTCCACCGGATGTCACTTCTGTGCTGGATGCTGGTATGTGACTCGCTTTGTGTGTGTGTGTGTGTGTGTGTGTGTGTGTGTGTGTAGGGGGAAGGGGTTGTATGCGAGGGTCAGGTCACTTGGGGTGAAAACCCTCATCAGCCCCCTCCCCCACATTCCTGGCGGGAGTGAGAGATAAGGCTCAGGGTCACAGACATCTGCGTCAGAGATAGGAGGTCTCAATGCCATGGGCAGGGGCAACTCGGACTGCAGGGCGTGGGAAGGCCTGGGGAAGACTGGAGTGAGAAGGGTAGAAGAAGGCAGGCAGGTGGTGGGATGGGGAAGGGAGAGTGGGGAAGGCCCTGGGCAGACCCTGACAGAGGGGTACAGGGCAGGTTGTGGGTTTGCCATTGTCAGGGACAGGTGAGCTATGTTGCCCTGGCTGCCACTGCTACTCCTCTTGCTGGTGGCCCCACAGCAGGGGCATAGCTGCCATGGGCCGGAGGTGGACCGGGAACTTGTCCTGGCAAAGGTGAGGGCCCTATTCCTGGATGCCTTGGGGCCCCCAGCAGTGACCCGTGAACGTAGGGATCCTGGAGTCAGGCGTTTGCCCCGAAGACATGCTGTGGGGGGCTTCATGCGCAGGGGCTCTGAGCCCGAGGAGGAGGATGTCTCCCAGGCCATCCTTTTCCCAGCCACAGGTAATGAGGGTGGGGAACTGGTGCCTTGGAGAAGCAGTGTGGGATAGCATGGGCTTGGAAGGCAGGCAGACCTGAGTTTGAATCTCAGACCTGCCATTCAACTGGCTTTGCAACAATGGGCCAATGACTAAACCTCCCTGAGCCTCTGTGTCTTCATCTATAAAATAGGCAGTAACACCTACCTCTCAGGATTTGGGGAGATGGTGCACTTAGAGTGCATGGCTCATAGGAGGCATTTGGGAGATACTCTCCTGGGACACTAATGGTCTCTGGAGTCAGAGGTATCTGGGTGTGGGCGCCTTCCTGCCACCTTTCTTCCTATTTCTGCCCCTTCTCCCTGCTCTGAACCTTGTTTCTTTGGCCTCATGTAGCTGAGACTTGAGAAATAACAGGGATGTAGGAGAAAAATTTGTTGGGAAAATTTCTGGGAAACTAGTCTACCTTCTCTTGAGTTCTTTTCTCACCTCCCCATGTTCCACTAACTCAATGAGTGAAGGCCTCCTCCTCTGGCTGGACTTTCTTGTAGCCTGCCCACGTTTCTCTTAGAGAGGATCGCTGCCTCCCTGTGCTTCAGTCCCCCCTGCAGCACAGTTAGTACGCGTGGCTTTGGGATCAGGTGGAATCCCAGCATGGCCACTTAGTAGTTCAATGTCACCTCATCTTTCGAACCCTCAGTTTCCTTATCTACAAAATGGGTCAGGTGTAGTGAAGTTATCCATGAGATAATCCATGTAGCAGTGTAGCTCCCATTGCCAGTCCTGCACCTGGTACTGGTCCATGATTGTTTAGTCGGGATACCTGTCAGGGTAAGGATGCCAACTGCACTTTCTTAGAAAGCACTGACCTTTATTTTATTCTCAGCTATATTTTTTCTCTTCTTGTTCCTCCTCCTCCTCCTTTTTGGTGTTAATCTGCTTATTAAAGTGGAATTATTTAAAAATTTTTATTATGTACTGCTTCTGACATGTAAAAAGATATGAAGCGTAATATAATAAATGCCTGCATTCACGCTATTTAAGGTGCCCCTTCACACTTTCAGATGAACAAAAAATTTAAGTATAACTAACGATTTCAAGTGTTGGTGAAAGTGGAATGTCAGGGCCTCTCACACATTGCTGATGGGAATAGTAATTGGTAAAAACACCGTAGAGAGATGTTGGTAATGTCTTGGATCTTTAAATGTCTTGTATTTTTAAAGTTCTTTTGTGATGAAATAACAAAAGGGGAGCCTCTGTCAGTTCTCCCAAGCCTGGGGGGAGTCCTGCGTCTGGCAGAGCACTCAGTGGAGTGCTTGGCAGGCTCATGAGGGGCAGCCACATCCTTCCAGTCAGGGCTGCCCTCCCCCTCCCCTGTGTCTCCTGCAGGTGCCAGCTGTGAGGACCAGCCAGCGGTGGGAGAGCTGGCCCAGGAGGCTGAGGAGGGCCTCTTCACATATATGTTCCGGCCATCCCAGCACACACGCAGCCGCCAGGTGACTTCGGCCCAGCTGTGGTTACACACCGGACTGGACAGGCAGGGCACAGCAGCCCCTAATAGCTCTGGGCCCCTGCTAGACCTTTTGGCTCTGTCATCTGGGGGTCCCATGGCTGTGCCTATGTCATTGGGCCAGGCACCCCCTCGCTGGGCTGTGCTAAACCTGGCTGCCTCTGCCCTCTCTCTGCTGACCCGGCCTGTCCTGGTGCTACTGCTGCGCTGTCCTCTCTGTTCCTGCTCAGCCAGGCCTGAGACCACCCCCTTCCTGGTAGCCCACATGCGTGCCAAACTGCCCAGCGGAGGGGAAAGAGCCCGTCGCTCGACTCCCCCGCTGCCCTGGCCTTGGTCTCCTGCCGCATTGCGCCTGCTGCAGAGGCCTCCAGAGGAGCCCGCTGCCCATGCCCACTGCCACAGGGCAGCTCTCAATATCTCCTTCCAGGAGCTGGGCTGGGAGCGGTGGATCATACACCCTCCCAGTTTCATCTTTCACTATTGTCACGGTAGCTGTGGGCTGTCCACCCAACCAGACGGGCCTCTACTAGTCCCTGGGGTTCCCCCTACCCCTGTCCAGCCCCCTTCTCTGGTGCCAGGGGCCCAGCCCTGCTGTGCTGCTATCCTGGGAACCATGAGGCCCCTACATGTCCGCACTACCTCAGATGGAGGCTACTCTTTCAAGTATGAGACAGTGCCCAACCTTCTCACGCAGGACTGCGCGTGCTTCTAAGGGAGCCTGCTGGTGGCCAAGCCCCCACCATCACGTGCTGGGAGGAAGAACAGAATTTGGAAAAAAGATGTTACCCATTTCCCTCCTCTTTCCACTTCTCTGCCTGAGGGCTCCCATCCCCGTCTCACCCCTGTCCCATAGGCAACGTGACAATAAACAACCCAGTGCATATGACGTGACATGCATTCTCGGACTTCTCTGATATGGTGGTGGTGGGTGGTGGTGGGGGGTGGAGGGGAGGACTGGGCCCCAGGAGCATGGGATTGTGGGATCTTAGGTCACTCAGCCTCACTTGACCTCGGAGATTTGGGGTTCAAGATAGAGCTAGAATGGGATGCATATCTGGTGGGAAGCTACAATACTTGAGGATGACACAAAGATGCTGCTAGCTCCTGACAGCCACTCTGGAGACAGAACTGGCCCTCATGCCAGCTGGACTTGATATGTCAATTGGGTTGCCTGCCCTGCCACACCTAAAGGCAACTGCTGTACTCATAGTGCCTACATCCAAGGCGGCCAGAAACCCCTCCCCTGCCATTCTATGCTCTAGCTGATAGATACCTAGTTCAAGGTCAGGTGATTCGTGGACTGGCCAGAGGTCATGGCTTAGGGCCTCACTGAGACAGATGTTCAGAGCTGATCAGATCTTGGGTTTCTCAGGAACTTGGGTGGCACGTAAAGGAGAGATGTGTGGGTTGGCAGCATCTGAAAGTTGACAAGGGCAGAGTGGAGGCAGAAGAACGAAGACCTGAGGATTTCAATTTGCTGAGGGCCTGGGACTCCCTCAAACCTATCGCTGGCTCTTGATGTAGCCCTTCATGAAGCCTGCTTGTGCTGGAACCTGGGTTTTTGAAGTCTCTGGCGCCCTTGATGTGCCCTGTGTGTCTTCATGTAACCCCTTAATTCAGTCCTTAACATCGGAGGCATGGAAAGGCAGAGCCTTCTGCCGGAAAAAGTATGCTCTTGTGTGAATCTGTGTACACCCTTTGTGTACACGCTGAGTCCAGAGCAGGGTGCAAGGAACCTTTTTCTTTTCCCCTTGGGTCTCCTATCAGTCCATTCTGACTGCCTCGATTGGCCATCAGGAGCCCCCCACATCCCCAGCCTTCCTTCCTGCTTTTCTCACCCCCCTCGGTCTTGTGATCCTCCTGCCCTGCCCCAGGTCCTGGCTCTCAGCCAGCTGACTCCATTCAGTCTCCCTTTAAGGGAGGCCTGTGTGGCGAGGAGGGTTGGGGATGCTCAGGTCCCTCAGATGGAAATTCAACAGTGCTTTCTGATACTCACGGCACCACTGCAGTGTGTATTTCTGCTAACAGAGTGACTTATCATCGACTCCCTCCTACTACCCCAGCTCATGGGGTGGGTAGGTAAGCGCCTCCCCAGAAAGGAAATGTAAAGGGGAGAGAATCCCATCGGGCGTCCTTAAGGCTAATAACACCTTCCCTTACCTGAGCTGAGCTGAATGAGCTACTGTTCCTCTCAGCACAAGAGCCCACCATAGCAGCCCACGGCCACGTCCTGCCATAGCCCCAGTCGCTGTTGATGCTGAACCCCCAAGGAGGTTGCTGTTGCTCTGGAGGGGGACCTGCCTGTCCCAGTCCCAAGTCTCTCCCTGCAGCTTCATCTAGAACCAGTGTTGCAGCCAAGTCTGTGCTCAGGGGTCCTGGGGTCACTATTCAGATGGTAGACTGGGGAGAGGGCTGGCTGGGCTCAGCCAGTGCTGGGCATGGGAGGTTTCCCTCGAGCCTGCCTGAGTGCCACTCTGTCCTGTGGCTTCCCTTGTCAGATCCTCCCTGCCTGAGCAGGGCCTTTCCCTGGGATCTTTAATTCTCCTGCTAGGCTTAGGCTCCTCCTTCTTCCTCCTGGGGCCACCTAGGACCCTGTGTTGTTCAAACTTTCCCTTTCCCTGGGATGTGGATGAGATCTGAGGGTAGGGACCCTTCTGAGGGGTGCAGCTTCTGCACTAGGCCACTTAGCAGACTGGTGTTGCTGGTAAGAAGTTTTCATGTATCTGAGACACAGTGAGAGAAGTGAGTACACTGTAGTGTCTTTTAAACAAAGCCAAAAGCGTTCATTTTAAAGGGCTATCTTTTATTCTAAAGTTATCATTTTTTTTCCATGAGTGTGTGGCAAAAGTGTTATTTCTATTATGATATGATGATGTTGGTAGAAGGTACTAGTTTTTTGTGTGTTTTAAAGTTTTTTTAATTAACAAAATGAAAATCTGGCAATTCTAATTTGGACCCTAAGGTTTTTCTTTGTAATTTTGCTGATGAAATCTATGAAATTCCCAAATTGGTGAAATCTGTGAAATCCTAAAATCTGGGACCATTGGGATGGGCCTCCTCTTCCAGGGTCTTAAGGCCTTAGATTCTGCTAACTTAGCAAATCAGGAAGATATGGCTGCCCCTAAGAGGGGCCGACAGTGTCTAAGGATACCTTTTGTCCTCACTCCTCGCCCTGAGACTAAAAGCAGTAGACTTCAGACATTCTCCATGTTCCCAGTGCTAATCATTAGGGACATTTTGAATACTCTTCATTTGGAGTCAATTTGAACAGAAAACCCACCCCAAACTGGCTTAGACCAAAAATAAAAAACAAATCACTGGCTCATACCAAGTCCATGAGCACAGCTGGCTAAGGTAGGCTATTGTGGGCTCTGAAGATGCTCTAAGGATCCAGCTCTAGGCTCTCCATCCCCAGGGGCAGCTCCATCCCTGGTCCATGGAGGCCTGGGCAGCTCCAGGCTCCCCTCATCACACTATGTGGTCTAGCAGGAGGGAGTTTGCTTACAGAAGTCCCTAAAGAGTCTGATTGGTGGCCTGATTGTCCTGACTAGGATCATGTGCTCCTCCAAGAAGGTTGCCTTGAGGGAACAGAATGAGATAATGACTTAGGTCATGTGCCAATGACTTAGGTCATGTGTCCTACCCTGCAGCCCAGAGCCTAAACCACAGGGGCTAAAAGGCAAAAAAAGGTGAAAACCCCAAAGCAGGGTACCATTACCCGCAAAAGGTGGAGTAGATACTGAGAAAAAAGTACTGTTGGTCCCTCCTCCTAATTATCTCTCACATGAAGCCCTTTCTCTCTCTCTACATAGATACTATTTTGTCGTTTAGGGAGCAATTCTTGATTGGCAATTCAGCAGCCTCCTTAACTGGTCTCTAAGAGTCACTCCCTCCCTGTCCCTCCAGAGCATGTTCCACCAGGCAGCTAGAGGGTTCTTTTTTTGTGATCATGTCCCTTACGCGGCTTAAACACTTGTCTATACAAAGGTCAACCTGCTTTGTGTGGCATTTGTGCCCTTTCCAATGACCCTAAAACCATCCTTGCAATCTGACGTTACACCCATTCCTCCCCTCCTCTCTCCACCCAACCGCACGCACACACCCAGACTCTGTTGGTACAAATTCTCGTCATTCCTCAGAGACGGTATTTTATTCTCAAGCTGCCCTGTCTTCAGCCTGTCTCTTTTCCTCAGGCAATGCCTCCTTTAAATCCAATTCTGGTGTCATTTCTTCTGTGACTTCTCTTGACTCCCTGGGATGGTAGAGTCAGCCACTCCCTCCTCACGGCTTCCTGGGCACTTTTTTTTTTTTAAATGTCGATTAAAAAAAAAGTTACTTGTTTTTTATTTCATAAGTAGCACAAAGATACATACTCACAGTAAAAATTCAAACATTAAAAATAATGCTGAGGTTCCCTTGATTGTTCCTCCCAATTCCTGTCCCCTTCACAGAGATAAATATCCTGCCAGACCTATTTCTATGAGTTTACGTACATACATCTGCTTTGTAGAAATAGTCTCCCTGCCGTGGTATGCCTTATGAAGGTGCTACAGCTCTTTTACTTTGTTTCTGAGAGCTATCTTTGACTTTATTTTCCAGTCCTACTATTACCTACTTTTTTTCCTTACTAATCACATTTTCGTCCCCCAAGAAATAAGCTTCTTTTGTTCATTTTATTATTTATATAACAAACATGTACCCAGCACTTACTATGTGGCAGGCATGTTACAACTAAAATCTCATGCAATTCTCATAACAACCCTTTGAGGTTATTATACCCATTGCACAAGTGAAGAAACTGAGGCACAGAGAGATTACGTAACTTATCCAGAGTCACATTCCTCGTAAGTGGTAGAGTGAGGATTTGAACTTCAGAAGTTTGGTTTCAGAGTCTGTCCACTACCACTCTACTGCATTACCACACCAACTCTCCTCTGTTCTTCAAATTTGTCTGCTGAGGAGACAAAACCATTTGTATCTGTTGATAAGGAGGGCGTCCTAGGTCCAGGACATGTGTGTAGATAGCAATCACTTTTTTTTTTTT